CTTCCTGCGAGCCAGGTTTCTCTTTGATGGAGGGAAAAATTTAAATTAAAAAAAAAAAAGAGCGTAAGAAGCGAGCGGCTACCTGCACTGCAGCACCTTGCAAAGGCCACGCTGGTGGCAGCAGGGAGGATTGCCAACGCGGCGCGCTGGCAGTGATTCATCCGCTGCGGCTCGGCTGGTTTCACCAAGAAAACCCGCGGTTAGGCAAGCCTGGGCTTCGCCGGCCGTGGTGGGTTGTCTCTGTCTGTGGGTCCTGTGCCACGGAGCCCACTCGGGGTCCATCTCGGCTGTTGGAAACGTGCTGCTTCAACCACAGACGGAGCTTCTGCTGCGGGAGCACCGACCGGACTTTCTAGAGAGGAAATGGAAAATCGGGTGGTGGTTCTTGGTGTTACTGTCTGAACACCCGTGGCACTGGCTGCTGGGGCGTGCGGGGAGGCAGAAACGGGATTTTTTAGGTAGCGCTGGCTGCATTATGATGGGCTGGATTGTTCACGCTGCTCCCGGTGGGTTTGGTTTTGGCCTGACAGCGATGATCCGCTCTTCGAGAGCAGCACAACCAGCGCTCGGGAACTGAAGGTCTGACAAACCTCCTCCTCCTCCTCCTCTGTATTTAGACTGAATCTCCAATTCTTTTCCTCTAGGGTCTAATATTTAAACACTTTATTACTTTTAGGTTTTAACCCAAACAGTGGCTTAACCACATGCAGCCCACACCAGGTGGAAGTCTTTGTGGCACTGGCAGCGCCTGGTCGAGACGCGGCGTTTGGGCCGGGGAGCAGCTCAGCCTGGGCCGGGGGGTGACTCAGGCTCCCAGGTACCGGCGCTGCTGATCAGGCAGTGGGGTGAGCTCTCAGGAAGGAAACCATTTGCTTCTGTGGGATCAAAAAACCAGAAAACCACCACCCACCACCTCTGATCTATGTGACAGGCTTGTGCTGTTACTGTAACACCCAGACTGACACTGAGATTGGCAGGAACTACATCAGCACGGAGCGGTGGGGATAACGTGCCGCGCTGGGCCGTGCAGCCTCCCCGCCGCAGCAGCTTTCGGGGTTGCAGGAGCAGCAGAAGGTTGCACACAGGATTGCTGTGCAGGGGAGCACTGCCCCGTTTTGTTTTGCAGAGGGGATGCTGTGCCTGGGGGCTCATCCCGCGGCCCCGGTGGGACCCGGCACAGCGCTCAGGCTCTGCTCAGCTCAGCTCACCCGCTTCAGTCAGCTTCGATGTCACGCACAGAGCTCACGCTGCCATAGTAAAAAATTAGGTTTTGTTGTTTTTTTTTCCCTCAAAACACTGATGGTTTTGGCAGGCGTTAGTTGACTTTGGGACCCGAAGGGGTCAGGGCGCAGCCTGGCGAGATGCTGCGAGCAGGGAGGCCGGTGATGCTGGTGCTGTGATTCTGCTTTGAGGTCAGTGTTGTGAGTCTCATGGATGACTTGTAACGGTACCTTGGGTGTCTCAGCTCTGAAACCTGCCTGGGGTTTTTTTTCTTTTTTTTTTTTTTTTTTTTTTAAGCAGGGCGCCCCGGACAGGGCTGATCTAGCAGTGGGAAAAGGCTGCTTGAGGACATGTCCAGAAATGAATCATGGTGGTTGCTCCTCGCTGGAAAGGTCATTTGTCCATGGTCGATGCCGCCTTGGGTTGCGCAGACGGCTTCTGCTGGGATTTCCAGAACACCCTTCCTAAAACTCCTTGGAGATGATACATATGTTTAGTCAGAGGAGCGTTTGCGTGCTGTTGCCCACCAGCTCTGCGTCATGATGCAAACGTCCCTGTGTTTTGGTGACAAACGGCACGGATTTCTTTCCATGTGGCTTGCATGGCGATCTAGCACGAAACGTCCTCTGGGTCTTGTTTTCTCTCTCTCCCTCAAGCGAACCCCCGCCCCTGGCTGGGAGCCCAGCAGCACCTTTCCACATCCCCGCAGCTTCCCAGCCTGGTTTTGGAGGAGCAGAGCTGCATCGCTCCATCCCGCCACCTCCTCTCCTGCGATGATGCCCCCGCAAGCAGGCAGCTGTCCCGTCCGGATTGCTGACTTGCTCTGCCTCCATTTTCTGCTGTGTCAAATATCTCCTGCAGCTTCAGGTAACTGGAAACCTTCATTCTTTGTACAGCAAGAGGCATCCCATCTGCTTCCTTCCTGTGGTTACTTTAACCAGGGTGACTGAGCTTTACTGAGAAACTCACCACAGCTGAGCTGACGCTGCCCCTTTCTCCATGCAGGGCAGAGCCCAGGCACCAGTTTGGTCGTGAGGGTCCTTGGCCTCCTTCCTCATGGGCTCTGACAGCTTTTTCCTGCCTCCCTGTGGAAGAAAAGTTACATAAAAGGGATTAAAATGGGTGCGGTGGGGTCAGGGGATCATGTGGACCAGATGTGTCCGGGTTGAAGCTTCAAGCAGTGCTCCTAAGTGAAGGTTTTACTGAGAACACAAATAATCTCTCGTGGCAAACTCAGCAATTCCACTGCCCATCACCAGCCTGAAGTTTGGGCTGAAACAGACTTAGAAACTGTCATGTTAAATGAAAAAAAAAAAAATTATTTCTAATGCAGCGAGGAAAGAAATCCCAGCTGCCAAGAAACACCTGGAGTCTGCTGGACTTGCCAAGTCAAGGGCTGAGAGGTGAAAATGAAAGAGGCTTGAAAGTGAAACAGGAACGTGGCCAGGCAGGTACCTGCCAACAGCCGCCCGGGGCTGTCGGTGTGAGCTGGAGTTTGGAAGTGGTTACGCTGGTTGAATTCTGGGTTTATTAGTCACAGAGCTGTAAATTCCCACGTGAGTCTGCTCGGTTTTGTTCGGGATTCAGCTGCTGTGCGTAGGGATCCACGTGCACAGATACGTGATCCCCAGCCTGAGGAAAAGCAAGAAGTTCGGTTGATAATTTGCATCAGTTTGGTTTTTATCTAGTATCTACTATCTGATCTAGAATCAGGGCCTCATCCTGGCCGAGAACAAATGTGAAGTTAAAAACATCTCGGTAGATAACGGAGGCAGCAGTGTGATCTCCTGTGAATCAGGGGAAAGGAGGCGCAGGGATGTTAAAGCCCTGGTGATTACCCATGACGTTCAGGCACGTAACCCGTTATTTAACTGTAAATGCTGTGCTGGAAAGGACAATGGCTGAAAAACTTGCTACAGTCAGAGGCTGAAGAGGCTGCAGTGACCCATGGAGTACCCCAGGACCAGTGTTTCTCTACTGGAAGAAATCACCGGCCGGTATTTTGTTCCGGCAAATTTTGTCCAAAATTGGCATTTAAATGTGAGCATCTCAAGGTCTTCTCACTTCCCCAGTCATTAATGCATGCGACGCATCCTTGGTGGTCCTCCTCGCCTGGACCCCTGCCCACTGGGCTCCTCCCCAGCCCGGTGACACTGGGCACAGCATCTACGCACCAGTGCTGATTCACAGCCTTGTTACCGACTTGCAAGAACAGAACAGAGGCTTTATTCATTAGGAGGTCTTTATTAGCAAAAATAAAAGATTTTCTTTTCATACAGATAAACACGCAAAAGTTCACTCAGTGACGGAAAGCGGGGCCAAGGCACGGTGCCCCCCCCCAGGAATGGAGCTGCTGATGCTCTCGGCTCTCGCCGCGGCCCCGGGGTCGTCCTTGCTTCTCCTACATCACTGAAGTCAAGGCGTTTGGTGGAAAAACAAGTACAGAGTTGGCTCAACGTGTCCTGGTAAGAAGGTCAATTTAAGTTTTCCAGCGTGTGTCTCCCACGCTGCCCTTGAGCCGATGCCACCCCGCTGCTTCCAGCAGAAGGGGAGACCCCCCAGAGCAGCGTTCCTGCTTTGGGGCTGCCCTTGCTCTGGGATAACCAGTTCCCACGTGGGCAGGCTGCCAGCAGGAATGCCCTTCTGTCACCAGAAACGTAAAAACAGAATAAATCAACCGTAAATAGCCTCTCGTCAGCGGTAACCTACAAAGCAAGCAACAAACTCTTTCATCATACTGGCGCCCTAATACTTCTAAATATTAGAAGCAAATGCCTTTGGGTTGTGGCGTTTTCCTCCAGCTCAGCGTCCTGTCGCACTTGGGGGGGAGCACACAGGAGGCTGGCGGGGGGGACGAAGGGGAGCCCGAAAATCAGCCGCTCACCGGGGCGGGGGGGGCTCCGAGGCTCCTCCTGCGCGGGGTTGGAAATAGCACAAACCCAAATATTGTCAGTGCTGCGTGCAGCTTTATGAATTTGAATGCAAATTACCCGAGCCACCTTAAAATGGTGGTGAATTAAATACCTTCGAACTTCTAAAAGATAAAAAAAAAAAAAACAACAAACCAACAAAACAGCAAGTAAAACCCAATCAAAGACTGGAAAATAGTAAGATGAACTTTTGAAAGTGCAGAGTGGCTGACCCAGCAGCTCTGGAAGTTTGTCATTAGCAACATTTATCTCGAGTTCTATTAGAACCAAACATTTCCTTTCTACTACTATTTTTTTTTTTCTTTTTTCCTTTAATCTGGACTAATATATAGACCGAAGTCTAGAGGTGGGGTTAACCAATCTATTGCTGTGGCGTGATCGCATGTTGTTCATGGGACTGCGGGTCACCTCCACATTGCTTTTCATACAAAGGGAAAAAAAAAAAAAAAAGAAAAAAGGCCCTTGGTTACATTTATGGTTATTTTGCTCAGTGCAAAGCCATGGAATAATTCTGAATATTTCAAAGTCTAATTCCAGCTGCAGAACTAGAGTCGGTGACATGATTATGCATAAAACCATTGGATCGCATAAATAAATAGAGGGGGTAGAGCATGAGGAGAGTGAGTGCTATTTTGCTTAAAACTAAACTTTGCTCAACTCAGAGCTGGGATTGCTCCTGATGAGGTGACTGTGCTCGGTGACACTGCACTCAAGATCGACTCTGCTCATGACCTGCTCCCCAGAAGAACACCGCTTTGGGTGTTTTGAAGCTATGAATAAACTAGCACGATCATAAACTGTATTAAAACATTGAAAAATAAATAGTATTTTACAAGCTCATCGCACTTTTCTTCAAAACATACTGTAAACATAGACACTGAGGTATTGGAAGTAATAAATATTAAATTCAGTTGTTAAAATAACTTTTAAATACAATACCAAACTGGAAGTGATTGACCCGTAATTCTTGACTTGAACCCTAAGATAACTTAATCTCTCATGTGTTTTTGCAGCCTAAAGTGATTTCTGAAAAAAAAACCCAACCAAAACCCCAGCAGGATTTTGTGCGAAAGGCGCAGACCCATTGGTGTTTTCACTTCTTCCTTTTCATCAGCAAGTACTCCTCGATGTAGTTGATGAAAATGTCAAACTCTCCCATGGCCTTGTAGATTCCGTTCTCGTTCATCTGCGGGTGAAAGCCAAGTCTCTTTAAGCCTGAACGTGTCGATGTACGTGATGTGCAGTCACTAGACATATCCTCCTCCCACCGATATCTCCAGCTTCTCTGCCCAATCCTTCAGGGGAACCTCCCGGCTGCTCCTCTGAGCATCGCTCTCTGGATTTCTCTCAGGTATTTATATAATTAATCACTACTTTGGATTCTGTTCTCTGTCCTAGGTTGAAGCTGGCACTAAAATCTGCCGCCTTGCCTGGGACGGTGGGTTCCTCCCGACCCCAGCGCAGCCCCGCGGGCGGGGTCCTTACCTTATCGAACGTCTCCTTGATGTGCTTTATGGTTTTGCTTCTCTTCTCGCACGTGAAGAATCTGTGCTGCAGAGGGACAAGACCAACGGTTCAACCACAGGGGTTTCCTTCCCGGGGCGTGCGGCAGCAGCTCTCCCCTCCTCCTGCCCCTCGTCACTGCCGCCCCGACGGTTTCCACCTTCCCCCCCTCCAGCCATGGGGGTCTCTGGGGCAACACCTGGGGCTGCTTTGCCCCGTGCACTGATGGAAGGGGCCTGCTGAGACCTCCTGGCCCCCCAGCCCTCTCTTGGCCCTGTGCCCCTTGCTGCCAGCCCTGGGTGAGGGCAGCCCCGCCGTGCTCTGCCCGGGTCAGGATTTGTCCCGTCAGGTGATGGGGTCAGGAGCGTCTTTGGGTGGCATCGTGGCAGAGCCGCGCTGCTCCGGCACCCAGGTAAGGGACAGCCCCTCCACCCTCCCTCCCCTTATCTCTTCACCAGACTCCCTTGGGTGGCTGCAAATAAGTGGGGCCCCTGAACAGAGCCTCCGAACCGTCGCTATTTAACTGACAAACGCCTGGAGAAACCCCATCCTCATGGGGTCTGCCTGCACCCCTCCGCTCCTGCGGACCCCCAGCACCCGCTCCCCACCCCGCTGCTGCTCTGGGACTGACTCTGCCTTTCCAGAGCACTGATTCCATCTCCCCGTGAAGCTGAGCCCCACTCACACAGCGCCTCATGGTCGCCTTCAGGCTCAGCAGCAGGTTGCCCAGTTCGCCCATGCTCTGCTGGTGGTGGGTGCTGGTCCTCATGGCGCTGGGCAGGACCTCCTCGGTGTAGAACCGCATCATCTCCGACACCGACTGGCAGCCGAAGCTTCCCTGGGCGAGAGGAGGTAACAGTGTTGGGGCTGGCCACCAGCCCCGACGTACACGAGTGCTTTTTGAAATGACAATCGCGGCGGTGGTCAGGGCGCTCGCGGTGGGGGGTTCCCTGGGGGGAACCCAACGTCAGCCCCACCGCAGACACACGTGTTGCCGCTTGGCTGGAGAGCTGTCCCTGTCTGGTGTTAGGGAACGCCCCAGTGTTCGCTCTGCTTCCTTTCTTGCAAAACACCGGCTGAAGGATGAGGAAGGGTAAGGGACTTCGAAGAGAATTACGATTCTTACCTTAAACTCATCCAGCAGTTCGGAGCTGAGCAGCTGGATGCTGAGTTCATCATCTTTTGATTGCTGTGGAAGGATGCAACGGAAACATGAGCTTCGCTCCGACAGGCAGCGAACGCTGTTTTTTTTTTTTCCCCTTTGCCTTACTGAACCGATAGCTTTGCTTGTTTGCGTTTGTGGTCTCCCTGAAGCGAGGGCGAAGAGCGCCCAGCACCCGCGTGTGCACGGCACAGTCACCCCAGTGCGGGAGCCACCAGCTCTTTGTTCCATCACCTTGCCGTGCAGCTGCCGTTAGGTCAGGACAGCAAGATAATGAATCACAAACTTCAGCGCCAGTGATTTCACTGGTGTGAAACTCCTCCCGCCGCTGCCAGCTGCCGCGGGTGTTGGTGTACGAGCGCTGATGCGAGCCGCCCGCTCTTCAGAGAGGGGCCAAGGTGATGGCAGCGAGAAGCGAGGCAGCCGCCCCAGTGCCCCCCCTGCCTGCGGGGTCACCAGGGCAGGAGGGTTTAGTGCCCCCAGTTTTGTTATCTCGGCAGGTCTCCAGTCAATGGGATCTGCAGCGGGTGTTTGTGCTCTGGAAGAACAAGAGCTGCAGTGGGGTGGGTTGGCACCACCCGAAGCATCACCCCGTGGCACAAAGGTGTGTCGAGGCTTTCCCGAGAGTTTAAAAATATTCCCACCCAACATCAACTGGGAGATTTACAGCAGGCTTGAAATCTAAAGTCTTGACCGTGTTCCTCTGATGGTCAATACAAGCCGTGACATCAGCCTGAGATTTCATCGGGAGAATTACCTTGGTTTATCACTAAAACACACTGACGTTAACTAAAACAGTAACGAAGATGTGACCAACCATCTCTACCAGTACTGATGCAAGGATAAATGCTCTGAGCGAATCTTGTGCTGCTTTCTTAGCAACCCTGAGGCTCCCGTTAGCTGCGATGCGAAGCCGTGACCCGTTACGGGCACCAAGTGCTAGTTACTGCAGTGTTCCTCCAGTCATAAAATACCATGCACAGGCTTTAGTGGTTCTTTCAGAGAAAAACTCTGTAGCAAAAGATTTCCCTTTTCATCTAGCATTAAACTTTAGCAAGGCTGGACATCGTTGCTCTGAAGAAGGAACTATTTCCTTCCTATTAATGCAGTGAATAATTTGGTTTGCAGCGTTTCGGGGGAACTCTGGCTAGTAAGGTTCACAAAGATTCATTATGAAATCTCTTGAGTTCATAATAGCTAAAACTAGGAAGAAACCTCTTGCACGTTGTCTCTCGGTGAGCAATGAAACCGAACTTCTCTTTCACACCCCCATCAGCCTGTAACACAACGCACGACCAAATAATTTCTGCTGGGAGGAAGCTGTCTTCCTCCTCATCCAAATCACCGAACGCTGCAGAAAAAAAAAAAAAAAAAAAAAAAAAAAAAGCAAAACGAGAAGGAGAAGAAACCATCAGGGTTATACTTACAAAATAATCCTTAATTTCCTCAAACTTGATCCTCAGCTCTCTGAGCTTCGCAGGCAGGAGCTCGGAGAAGTGGAGGCAGCTGGGCTCGGCGGGCGAGCACCTGTCGGGCAGGGTGCCGGCGGCCAGGAGCAGCAGGAGCAGGGCTGAGCGGGGCTGCATGCTGCGGGGAGCGAGCTGCCTGCCTCTCCGTCCACTCCCGGGCTGAATTTCACAGGAGGCTAAAAAAGCAGATCTGTAGCCTTCACCTTGATGGAGCCCCTAATTTATACTCTCAAAACATCGCTCAATTTCCTCTCCCCATTTCCTGGCGAGCAATATTGGGGTTTTAAGTCATTCATTAAAACCAAATGTCACTTGAGTTTCCCGTCAACTTGGGTTTCCTGTTCTCTTGACCCCCCTCCTCTCCTCACACCCCATCAAAATCTTTTGTGCTTAGACTCTGCATTTTTTTTTTTTTTTTTTTTTTTTTTTTTTTTTTTTTTTTTTTTTTTTTTTACTCATTCTTGCTTCTTGTAAATTTAGATGTGGCTGAAGAGGAAAGCTTCAGATATAATGTGAAGAAGGAAAGGTGCTGCGTGAGGTTACTTTTGCATTCTCACAGTTACTTTTTATTTTTAGACGAATGCCCTATTGTTAGGGGGAAAAAAAAAAAAAAAAAGGGTTTCTATTGTCATAGCTCTGTACCAAACCTGCACTTAGGTTATCTCCAGCACTATGCATAATTCAGCAGCATTACTTTTAATCAACCTGTACCAATACATTGTCTCCTTTGGCATTCTAATGCTCTACTGTAAATGCATCGAATAATCTTCAGTCTTCATTTTAATTTTTTTGTTTTCAGTGAACGCACATGCCTGTTGAAGTCGATGTGAATTTTCACTGCCTTCAGCAAGCTCAAGGGCTGCACTCCCAATCCTCAGCCGCCGTTGTGCCTGCTGCTGGGATTAGCCCTGGGATGTGCTGGGATGTGGTTTTGGAGCCCAGCCCGGCTGGGATGTCGCCGCTCGGCTTGTGCAGGGCTGCCTGGCTGCTTGCCCCCGGCAGCTGGGTGGGAGCGGGGTTTGTGCCACGGGAGCTGCAGGTTTTAACATCGGTGCGTGGCGGTAAAGTGTATCAGCAGGTTGTGGATATTCATGTTTCTGGCTTTTTAACCCGATTTAATTTTCTAGGAATGCACACGAGCCCCATCCAAGCCATGCAGTGATGATTGTATGAACTGGGTGTACTAGGTTAACTGAGCCTTATTGTCCCCGCTCTGATAAAATTACCATTTCAGAGCTGAAGATAATTCCTCTGACGTCTCTCGTTTTCCGCTTTCCCCTCTTTCATGTCCTTTTTCTATATATACATTAGTACACAGCTCCCTGCTTCCTTTTGATAAAGATTTCACTGATGAATTTGAAAATCTGTTATCTAAAGAAGAGAAAGTGGAGATGAATTTAGCTTTCCTGAAACCAGAAAGTTTTATTTGAAGGCTCCCATACGACTTTTAGTACAGAACGTTCTTCCCAGCCTGCCTCCAATACATCGCTTTGGACAAATCACTTCCATTATCACTTGCTTCAACCACACTGAACTTCTTTTAAGTTGAATTTGCAAGCCTCTGTGAAGGGACTTGTTGCAAAAAAAAAAAAAAAAAAAAAAAAAGCTAGAAAAAGTATTGTTTGTTACCATATATTTAGATTTTTTTTTTAAATTTTATTTTTAGGAGCAGAAGAGAGGAATGTTTGGTGTACATGTGTATGAGTAAGAGTGAAGGGGATGAAACATTGGTAATTGAAGGGTCTGAGGCAGATACGGTGTGGGATCTTGTGTTTTGATTTGTTTTCTTTTTGTTGTTGATGTTGCCTCTTCCAGAGGAGACGAGGAAGCCCGCTCCTGGTGAATCACTGCAGGCACGCTGGTTTATCTGAATCACAGCATGTCATGTATTTCGTGACCCATTTGTCTACCCCTGCTCTAACGCAGCCGTGTGGTTTCTCCCCTTGACTGCCAGCAGAACCGATGGGAAAGGAGACGAGCAAGCAGCAGCAGATGGCTCAAACAAAACCAGGTAGTTTGAAACTCAACCCGTTTCCACTGGTAGGATCCCACCTCTCGCTGGTTCTCTCTTGGCTTCCACCCTGGGAGATTTTTTTGCTTATCTCGGATTAACTCGAATCTGCCGTGGGTTGATAAAGCTTCGCTGCCAAGATCTGGGCGGCTGCTTAAGTTTCATCAGGGCATCAAAACTGATGTGGCCAGGGCAGTGGGGGCGATGCTGGCAGGAGCCAGTGCCCCGGAGCGGGTCTGCGGGCAGGCTGGCCCAGGACCAAAGCCTGGAGCTAAACCCCTGGGTGGAGGATGCAGCCCCGGGCACTGCTCTGCAAACCGGGCCCCCTGCAGCGGAGGGGTCACTCTCAGCCTCAGCTGGGGGTTTAGGTGCTGGTATTTTTGTGGGATGCAAAGCAAAGGATCTTTGGGCCCACGGGAATCTCCTCCGCTGTCTCGGCGGGAGGCGGCGCGGTGCCGGGAGCCCTCCTCCCTCCCTGCCCGGGAGCTGAGCGCTCCTTTCCAACCTTCTTTTATTTTGAGCAATCTGCGTGTCTCCATGAAGTCATTTCAGTTTGACACCCAGAGTGCGCAGAGCGGTTCTGTCTTGTGCAATTCCCTCCTCCTTGTTTTGGAACTTTTTTTTTTTTTTTTTTAAATTTTTTTTTTTGCTACGAGCGTAAGCCAGCTGTGTCCATTCCACAAAGGAAACTCTGCCCTGCGCACGGATGAGACTCTGCTGTGTTTACCTGTATTTCCTTTGCCGTGTCAGAGATCTTGACGGTGCAGTTTCGCTCTGACTCACTCTTGCTTACTGCTGTGGAAATGCATTGACTCTGCAGTACTACAAAGCGGTTGCATGAATGAATAAAGCACCTTTTCCTAAAGAGTGTCCGAGGGACGTGGGTGTATTTCTAAACCTTTAGGAAACAGCTTTCATAGTTGCCAAGAAGATCATTTCAAGAAGGAAAGTGTGTTACTCAAAAGCCATTCAAACACTTTTACCCCACCTCCCACAGACCAAGGAACTGCATGTTCACAAGAAATACTCGTCAGGACAGCAGAATTGCATTTCAGCTGTAAACCAGAGGCATTTAGGCAAATGCTTTCCCCCCGCCTCCCCTCAGTGTGACATGTGGACGGATTTGTCCTGGACGTGGTCCTGGGTGACCCTGCACAGCCAAGGCTCGGGCTCAGTGGTCCCCAGAGGTCCCGTCCTCTGGCGCAGGGTGGCATCTCATGCTTCTTATTAAAGGGGCTGCCTGTGTGTGTGGCTTTTCTTCTCTTGGCAAGCCTTTATGTGGGCAGTTTTTTGCCTTTTTTTTTTTTTTTTTTTTTTTTTTTTTTTTTTTTTTTTTTTTTTTTGCCTTCTTGGTCTCTGTCATTGCTTTCGAACAAAGGAACCTTGTGTAATTTCTGCGCTATCTATTTTAGATAGAGCTTGGAGGATCCCCTAGATTTCCAGGCTACCATAATGGTGTGATTCTTTCTTTCTGTTTTGAAAATTCCCCATTTCTCATCCCTTCAGATTTGGGAGATCCGGCGCCAGTGACGCTCTGGGGGAAGCAGAGACTTGGTGGCCTTTTCTTCACCTTGTGTAAAGAACAGTTTTGAAGCAACGGCGTTTGGTCTCTTTGACAACCCCATCGGTGATGACTAACAGTTCCTGATGGGTTAAGCACAAAGTGGACTGCATTTTTTTAAGATTTTTTTTTTAAATTTTTGCTGTCAAGGCATGACGTCGGATTTTTCACTTCTGGAAACCTGCTTTCTAGCACCCTTGTCGGAACTTGCAATGTGATTCATATTGACCTCAACAGGTAAATCCCAAATTACTCTTCGGAAATTTAACCAATGTCATCGTTTGGTCTTGTAACGTCTAAGTGTCTGGAAATAGGCTACTAATCACAAATAGAAGACATGATTGTGACCTCTAACGTGACTTTTAACAGGACATAGAGAGAGCCTCACAGAAGTTCGTAGCAGGTCCAGAACTTCCATTTGATCTAAATCAAGCTGGAGTTGTCACCTAAAAGCATCAATTAATGGAGACTCCCTCCCATCTGTACATTCAGTGTTTTGGTGATTAACTTAACCAAGAAATGTTTGCTTTTTTTTTTTTTTTTCACTTGCATACATGAAACTCCCAAGCTTTGCAAGTTTGCTGCAGCCTATAAGGCAGAGAAAGAATAACATCCCTATTTACTATCCTGCCCTGGGCTTTCAGGGTGCCCTCTGCCAACCCAAAAGACTGAGCTGTGCTTTTTTTTTCCCCATATTGCACGTACTTTGCCATTTCTAAATTGCTCTGAGAGGGGTGTGCGGAGTCGTGGGTGAGGTTTCTGTCCTTATAGAAACTGATGACATCTCGTCACTGGTGTTTCAGGGAGTGGGGAGCGTGTGCTCTGAGCGAGCAGAGCGGATGAATGAGGCTTTCTCAGGCAAGTTTATTCGCAGGTAAGTCAAGAAGGTAAAAGTATGCAAAAAGAGCTGAACATACGGTCCATTTTAACTTACCTTTTTTTTTTTTTTTTTTTTTTTTTTTTTTGAGCATCCTACAGAGGCAATGTTGAGCAATTCCTGTCTCGAATCAGGTCATTTCACAAGTGCTGTTTTGATGAGTTTCTTTTTTTCTAGTTTTAGTATTACTGGGGTGTGCGGATCTTCTGGAGAATATTGTCTTTGTCATGATTTAGCATCCACACTCTGGCCAATAGTACAGATACCAACTATTTATAGTTATGAGTGGTCATAAGACAGAAACCAGTTATCACGGTTTGAGAAATCAGATAACGCAAACCAGCTGCTTGGAAGCGTAACGTGACCGTCGGGGTGAATTACAGAGGCAACTTCACTCACTTTCCACAGCAGCACCAGGCCCTCGGCCCGAAGCCAAACATCAGGCTGGGTCACTCATGCAGTGGAGTTTTGGGGTGGGTTTTGTTTTTTTGTTTTTTTTTGTGCGGTGCCGAAGGGTTCGCGCTGCGGGTTGAGAAATCCCGGGCTTTCTTTTCCACCCCCCGACACGCAGAGAAGCACGTGCCGCGGCTGGCGGTGCCGCGCGTGACGGCGGGTCAGCCCCGGTGCCCCGAGGGATGCTGCAGCACCCCCAGAGCTGCCAGGGGATTTCCTGCATGTCCCCGCCGTGACTCTCTGCCCTGAAATCATTAATGTGAGAACACCACGGCCCCTGGGCTACTCCGCACGGGCTCAACACTCTGCACCGCGCGTTACTCAACCAGAAAAGAAATACCGATGGCCGTGCGACTGCATTCAAATCTGACATCTCAGGGGCCCCTCTGAGAAGTCAGGGCAAAGGGAACAAGTTTCATAATATGGATTCCCAGAATAATCAACCAGA